TGTTATTATTATTATTATTATTACCATCATTACCATCATCACTGAAAACCTCTCACATACAAAATAGCCTGTGCTTTGAGATCGATACTTTAAGGAACTACAAATTTCCTAGCCGCCCTTTTTTTGCTTCTGTATTTGTCTCACTCTTGTCTCGGAAGTTAATTACCCTGTTGTGTCATTAGGTTCCAATTTGAAAAGCTTCTCTTCGTTAAAAGTTTTAACAATTGAAACGATGCATGCAGGCCCTAGAAATCATTAACAGTTCTGCTGTGCAAAGAGATAATCATGAATTGAAGGTTATTCCTTTCAGATCCAAATTATCAGTAAAAGACCCTCCCCTCCCCCCTTCCCCGTTCAGCTGAAGAATAATTTTATAAAGCACTTATTCGTATTTTACGGCTTTCTATGTGTGTTTTACAACTACCTATTATTTCCCCCAGAAGACCCTAGAGCGCCCAAAAACATTTTCGGCTTCCCGAGAAGCGTGCAGTGTGAGCAGCCAATTCAGCGCTCAAACACTAACAAACTGACAAGTTCTATCGGCGGGTACCCATTCTCACCTGGGTGGAATGAGGAACATACGCGTAAAGTGCCTTTCCCAAGGACGAGGTTCGAACCCACAATCGCTGGATTGCGAGCCCAACAGCCTAACCACCAGCCAAATTGTTTAGATACTGTAGAGAGAGAGAGAGAGAGAGAGAGAGAGAGAGAGAGAGAGAGAGAGAGAGAGAGGGGAGGGGGGGGGGGGGGGGGGGGTGCGAAACAAGTTAAGAATACGTCTTGCTAACTGAAATTAAACAAACGCCGAAATCTTAAAAAGCTGGCACAACTTTCAAATTTGTGCTGGAATGCTTCAAGCATCACCGCTGAAAACATGCCTTTTCCAATTTTCTTGTAAAGGCCACTCAAAATGATTGCACGTTCGCTTTGTAAGCATTAGTATTGAAAACGTACCTTCCCTCTGGAGTCTGCAGTGTAAAGGCTAACGTTCTTCGTCTCTGTACACAGAAGACGGGGGATCGATTCCGGAGAGAGTGAATTGCCGTATCCTACTCTGCCCGGATTGGTCCAAGCAACTGACCTCCGAAACTATGTAAATTGTGTCGATGGGATGATTGTGTCTTGTCTCTTCATGAACCCCTTAGATCATTTCAACATTATTTATCCCGGGACCGTTAAGACTTGATTCCCCCCGCCCTACCCCCACGAATTCTCTGCGCTAGCGTCTGTATGTATCGGTTAGTCCCTTCACCGTCGCACGCAGAAGAACCGAGTTTGATTCCCATGTGAATATTATGTTTATTGAATATCTCGATCTTTCCTCTGGGACGATGTATCCCTCTCAGCCTTTGCTGGCCCTGACAGGCAGGGTCGAAGCCCTCCTCCTAAAGATCTAAATTGTGTCAATGCGAGCGTATATATGAAAGAGGTAATCGCACGCACTCACACTCACATTCACTCACACTCACATTCACTCACACACACACACACACAA